AACTGATTCGGTTCCTTTTGCTGCAGCGGCGTGTAGTGCATTACCATAATAACCACCCTGGGCATTCACGTTTACCGCATCCTCCTTCCTATTGACTAGTAATTTACAGGCCGTCACTAAATTTAATAAGGAGCAATAGTAGATTGCTGGTGGGTAAGTCCCGGAATCCACGGGATGAGACCGCCAGGGATAGTCAGGGTCATACATATCTAGCCAGGGTTGGCCGAGCTCGAGGACCTTTACCGCGGCCTCGGAGAGTGGAACGGGTGCCGTATCCTCAATTGATCTAAAGTACGTGAACCAATGGCAAGCGCTGTGGTAAAGAAATAAGAATCTGTCGACTTTGTTCCCACGTATAGTGCCTTCTCCGCTATGCCGCAGTAGTCGACTAAGACAAGCGTGCGTCATCCGTAAATTGGCCTTATCCTCCGAAATATGATAGTAGGCACTGGGGCCCTGCGCCGCCCGGTCTGAGATCAAATATTCCTTTACCGAGAAATGTGCTAGTCGTAATGGTCGGCTTTCCTGAGGGGAGGATTCACCGTCCCTGGCGTCTTCGGATGAAATAAGGTTAGGGCAAATACTCATCAGGGAGTTCGTGTCAAAAAGATTTTCCGAATCCTCGCCATACTTGTCAACATCGTATTCTATCACAATGGCCTCCGCGAGCTGGCCTAGGGTCATTGGTTCTGCCGAAAATGCTAGCCAATTCATCGCTCGACAAATATACTCCTTCTGCTTCTTAGGAATGGTATCGAGGATCTTCGCGTAGATAGAATCTAAGTCTTCCGGGAGTTCCCTCAATGCATCCCGCACAGATTTTGGTGTTATGCATTCTTCCAGAATTCGCAGGAGACAATCTACCCATCGGAACCTGAAAACACGCGCCACAAGATTAGCATAAGTGGAAATTCAATGGGCGGGCATAACCCACATTCCCTGGGAACCAGCAACTAGCGTTTCCTCTATCTCAGTCTTGATTTCTTGTGAAAACTTCTTGAAGCCATCCTTGCCGACTAGAGAGTTCCGTATATATGCGCGGATATCCGGATCGATAGTGCTGGATTGTAGCGATATTGCAAAAGAAGTATGTGGTTCCAGTGATCTCGCTATATCGGCCTCGGGACGGCTAGTGACAAGAATCGAAAGTGATCCCATATGATCCGCCGTGAGCTCGCCAATCCAAGACAGAAGGGTCCCGCGTATGGCCTTCGGAAATTCGTCTAAGGCATCTAAAATGATAAAGGTCTTTTTAGAGGGCTTCGTGATATGCGAAAATGCAGTTTGCAGATCTTTTATATCTGGCAACATTCCAATTGCCTTGGAGTCGTGGTATAGCTTGATAATCTCATCAGGTAAGGCCAAGTGGGAACGCGCCCGTAGAAGTTGGCCAATGATGGATAGAAGCATGTTCAGCATATTTTGCTTCCCCGAGTCACTGAATGTAAAGTAGAAATAGGCTAATGCGTGATCGTCATTCGCCTTGCACACATTTTTGACATCCTCGATAGCGGTAGCGCTAAATAGTCAGCAATCAGGAAATCATATTGCACCCTTCGACACCCGGTTGATTTCACACCTTAGGACACTTTTTCCACATCCGGCTACAAGAGAAAAATATTAATGACATTCCTAGAAGCATAAGATTTCACTCGTCTGTGGACTCACGTATACCGTAAAGCCAGAGAACCATTCCTTTACCGGCCTTCCAATCCATATAGTCCTGCCCGTTAAGCAGCTAATTCCCCGTACCCTTTTCACGAACGCCAAGTGCAGACGAATAATTGGCGCTAGGATCAACAACATTAAGCCAATTTAGCACTTTGCGGAATTCTTTCTCTAGGATTGTAAAAACATCTAATATTAGTAAATAAATTAACCATCAGGGTTAGGGATATTGTAACAAAGTACCATCTAGTGTTCGTAACATCTTTGTTACCGTCGTCCTGAACAACTAGTTAGTCTTGCCACCCCCCAAAAAAAAGGAAATGGAGAAGTTAGCTTCTCCTGGTATGGAGGAATGGAGGGTTTACGTTGTAGCTGTAGTCAACAAAAGTTGAAGCTTCGATCTCTGAACTTCAACCAAGGCCAGGTAGCGCTCCATTTTTGGCTTATGAAGCGGCCAAAAAAGCTTTCTCGACGATTTCCTCCATCCCGGGACATCTAACCTTTTCTCCAGTTCCCCGAGGGCAGTTGCATACCCTTTCAAGTTTTCGTTTTTTGTCCATTCGAGAAGCCCAGGGTATTTTGGGTTGTTCTCGTCACCTTGTGCAGCAAGAGCCTGTATTTCCTTCAGCTGCTCGCCAATACTCCTGATCTCATCCGCTAGTCTCTTGAAATCATTTTCGCTCTCCTTAACTGCATCGCGGTATTCATCGCAAAGTTGATAAACCTTTGCGCCGAGGTGAATGAGGGCCAAGCCACTAGCAGCAAGCGAGGAGGGTTCTGCCATTTTCTTTCTCACGAATGTTGTGGGTTAAGAGGGGGAGTGCAAGTTGCTATGAGAGCTCGCTATCTTTCAATAGGGAAAGAAGAATAAAAATCGGCCTTCAATTCCGAGGTGGGTCCTCGAAGCTTGGGGAGCTTTTTTTTTTGCTATGCTTTCGGATAGTGGATTCGGGGATGAGGCGGGATACAGCAACTACTCGTAGAGGGGAATCTTTTCGCAGCAACCCTTCTTAAGAACTCCAAGAGCGAGGCTCAGAAATGCGCAGCGCTTCTACTAGCACACAAAAACAGCAACTGCATGCCCAGTAGCTGTCTGTACTACTAGTACGAGTACTGCAAGCCAAGTATGATATTACCCGAATATATCAGCCCCCGTGCTACCATTTTGAGCAAGGATCAAATTTCTTTCCCAGCATTGACTTTAATGCCAGTCGGTGTGCGGCACATTACAGTCTATGTATATGGGCGGAAGGCACAAACAACCGCGCGTGTTTTGACTCAGTTGATGGTATCGGAATAAATACCAGCACGAGTATGAGCACAGTACACGAGTATGATACTTTTACTTGTATGAAGTACAGCCCTTGAATCGTCATACTGTAAACGACCCATTTAAACTACCGATATCATGAGTACTTGGGCCATGCGGTTCCAGAATTCGATAGGGCAATACCGCAGTCAGGTTTACCGGCCTACTGCTCGGGGGGCATTTGGTTGCCACCACCAGTGATAGAGCCGGTCCTCTTACTAAGACCTTTGATTTTCCCTATTCTAGGACAAGGGTACATCATGAATTCATGATATAATACAGAACAAGGGCGGTTACACCTCTTCGTGTGCGGAATTGTAGAAGACTGGAAAAATCATGCTCTCCAACACAGGGTCATGTATTAGTGATGAGGAAGATGATAGGAGAAGGAAATTGACCAGTAATGGTTGGCTGTGATCACACTATGTTCTGGTTCCCTAGTTCCCGCGTAATTGAATCCAGTACAGTAGCTCTTACTTGAGCAAGGTTATGGGACCTCTCTTGTGGGCCCTCTTCTATGGAGACTCCTCAGGCGGGGAGACTGAGCACAACCCAATACAGACATCTTTCCTAATTCGACAACGCCAAGCTGCCTCCTTTCCCGAAAGAGGATTGCAACAAATATTTCTGAAAGAGTTGCTTACAGTTTACCATGAATATTCCCACCACGGAATCAAAAATTATTCTAGAATATGGAGACCATTAACTCTATGCACTAGAAGGCCTCTTGGAAGCATTCCATTTTTTTGTTGAAAGAATCCGGTTGTGTAGCGCTTGATTTTTGTGTGCCGTGTTGTTTTCTCCAGTAATTTCCAAGTCTCTTATTATGCGCACGGTCTCCCCGCCTGAGGAGACTCCCTCTCCTATTGCTAACCAACCTCTGATCCCTGCTCTGCACCATGAATTCGTAATCTACCCTTGTACCGGCAGTTCCAGTGCAGTAGCCCAAGGCCATATGATGCAAAGCGCTTAGAATGTGTACCAAGGCCGTTGCATCGTGTAATGCCTCAAATCTACCTGGGTATAGGGCTACATGTTGGAATGATGAATTTTCAAGGTTCCGGGTTCAATTCATCATTAAGTCAAGATTTATTTTTCTCATTCTCATCTAACCACCAGACATTTTGATTGTCAATTTGAGATCATGAAGGTAAAACTTAAATGTTATACTTATGATATTATTAAGCATACAACTCAGAAAGTAATAACAATCAATTAGCAGACAAATTACGGAGCCGCCTATGAGACTTGTAGCTCTGACTAGTAAGTTTCTCATATTCAGCAGAGGTATAAACGACCTTGCTTCGATAGGCTTCCATGATCCTTTGTGTCTTTGCCCAATACTTCCAATCTGAGCCTGAATTGGGCTTGTGCTGTTCTTGAATATTCAATGTTGCATTTACCCTTTACCCTAATACAAACCAGACATTACACGATGCAACGGCCTTGGTACACATTCTAAGCGCTTTGCATCATAGGATTTTGGGCGACATTCAGCCCCTGTCCCGCAAAGGTGATGCGCATTCTCCTTGGCGCCCAGGGTCCAGGGCTGAACTTACCGGAATCCCTGCCTCGGATACCTTACGGTGCTGTCGAAGGGTAACCGGCTGTTAAGCGACCGATGGACCCTGTGCCGCTTCAGAGCCTCTCACTTTGCCCATCCCGAGGCCCTGAGCCGGATTGTGGAAACATCGCCGAGAATGGCGCCCTTATTCGATGGCCAGGCTTACCAAACGACAAACAATGCACCACCAGCAACTGTGACGAGCCATTCCCCCTCTTACCGTCATCATGCGAATTTCCTCTTTCCTCCGCCAAAACGCCGAGCCAGGGGTTTAGGTTTGCTCTCTAACTGAGAGCAGAAAAATCCCTTGACAAACTTCTCCACCGAGAACCTCCGAGAAAGGAAAAACAATACCTATGACACCCCACCCGCACCCTATTATCCCATACAATAGCCTACCGTATGTTCCTGCATGTCGGAAAATATTGAATATCTATCACCATACCATCATACTTCTACTTCCGCTTTTAGATTTACTATGATACAGTTGTGGGTGGCAGAGGGGTTGATACAGGTTTCAGTCCTGACCTCCTTTATCGCATAATACCCCCGATATCGCATTTGGTCCCCGTCCCTTCCCTTCATACCCAGCTCCCGACTGCTCCACTGCCGCACTTTGCTTTCCGTCGTTCACATTCGGACCTGGCCTCTCCTACCACATTCCGCCACCAGCCTCTCGATATTCTTATCCGGCTTTACAGACTCCTCAGACATTAGCTACCGTAATCGCCGAATTCGTTGCGTCCTGTGCCCTCCTAATGAATATGCGCTCGGCCCCGGACCAGGATGAGGGAGGTCTGTAATCCGTCCTGTATTTACCTTACTCTGTGCAGGTAATTAAGCACGCTATCGGCCACTTCAGCTACCCGCTTTTCCCCCACCTCCGCTGCGGATGCGTCCCCCGCCCCCCACTATTCGCCTATCGCAGATGCTGCGACTTGCCGTCTATAGTCGCCACGATCACCCGTAGCCTTCCATAAAGGCCAGGCCTGGGCAGCGACCACTCATGTCACGTGTGTTACCCCTTACTAAGACCGCTAGGCGTGGTGTAGTATAGACTGAGGGCTGACAATAATTTATGCCCCATCTAGCCCTATTAAGAGGATGGGCGGTAGACTGCTAGGAATTCCCACTCGAACTCCTGACTACTTTATTTTCTCTCCTTCATCCCCTGCGGCCCACGATTATTTCCAGTGCCACGGTATTAGCCATTAGGATGCTGGACCGTTCCCGAGACGCGTCCGGCGATGGCCCTTTACCCGGAAAGGTTCCTTGCTATGCCCACAAAAGCCCCCCTTCTCCTAGGTAACCTCGCAACCTACGAAGTACAGGGATCCAGGCTTCTATGAATCTTACAACTGTTCCCCTGTCTGGTCCCTTGTGGTTCATGACGAGCCCCGTTTGTGTCTTCACCCCCGTTAAAAAAACAAGAGTCCCCCGAGAGATTGCCGCTTTTTTGGAGACTGCTTACTGGTCAGTGTATGGTACCTTTTGCTTTTTGGGTCTGGGCCCCGAATTCCGCGAGCGATTTTCAGGAAGACCGGCCCGGGAAATAGTCCCACCTAAACAACACGGCCGCTTTTCCCTCCTTTCCTTGTCACCGGGGGATCCAGTCCCCCGCACCGTCACACCCCACCATCACTTGATACCCGGGATCTCACAAGACCAGATGCTTCACTATCCCAAACAATGCGCCACCCCCAAACTCCTTCCACACCAAGCCCCAACCCACTAACTCCCGGTGCCGGCAGTTAGTACAGGCGGCTACCC